ATCTAATAATAAATTTTTTTTTATAAAGATTTCAACAATTCATTCATATTGCGACTACAAAATACCAAAATTAAATATCGAACTCATTCCAAACGTATATCTCTGTATATCATCTTTGTCACAACTGGGTATCGAAATTGTAAAACGCATTGTTGATTTGCTATTGTGATTTACCAAGCTAGAAATAATAAATATATTTTATTTTTTAAAATGTAATCACTTTAAACTTTGGTAAATTAAGTCTTAGATATTTAAGAGGCATGTGAAAGCCATTGGTATTTGCGGTCAAACCAGGTAGTTTACTTTATTAATCGTTTTAAGAGAGGTGGGATTTGTCTTCTACTTGGGGAAAGGTGTGATGGCAATTTTTAATCACACCAATTAGTTGGCTACGAGCAATGTTTTTGCACATGATCCTCGTTTAATTAACTAACCAACATTGTAATCTCAACCTTTTAAAATTGTTTTTTTTATTTGAGTCACATTCCAAATTAAATCTAATAAATTATAAAGAGAAAAATTCGAACATAAATATAAGAGGCAACTTGCAGGAATTGGGTTTAAATCTAATTGTGTATTTCTGATAATTTTATTGAATCATGAGTAGATGACCAAATCGTCTTTTTGATAAAGAGATTTCTCCTAATATAATAGGGATCGATATTATAAATAGGAGGAGAGTTAAGGAAACTACAACTAAACCATAAGCTAGTTAATAATTAATTTTCTTTTGACCCTACTTGTTGGATGGGTGTTCACCCCAAAGTGCTCCCGGATTGCACGCATACGTGAAGAAAATATAGAGGTTGCACCAAGAAATGGAGAAGATAAGGTCATACCAAGGTAAATTCTGTTTATAAGCCCTTAGCGCAAGCACTAAGCAAGTAAACTACCTTTAAATCAAAGGAAATTTAATGAAAATGGTTTGAAAATTTTGAATTTTAATCAAAATGACAAAAATGTGTTGTAAGTTAATAGTACCAAGAGTGAAATTTTAGTGTAAAAATGTCCTTTTGACACGCCCCAACCCTGATATCCCCACATATTAAGGTAGACACGTGATGGCTGACACCCAAGGATGATGAAGCCATTTAAAACATGCATACAAATAAAATATGTGCAATTAGAACGGTCAAACCATAGCATGAACGTGTTCAGAGCATACAACTACTAAGAATAATATAGAAGGATTACTAGGAAAAGATATGAACAAGGGAATGATACTGATACTGAAGAGACTCGAGGATATCTGTGATGTAGAGTCCTGACGCTGGGATCATGTGTCTCAATCTTAACTCCTGAGGGGGCGCAAAAACAAAAAAGGTGAGTGAACCAAAGTTTATAATAATAATACTAATAATAGGAAAATATTCTATTTCTAAACATAATAACCCCATGTTTTGGAAACACATATATAATATATAGGTTTTATGAAAAACCCTAGCATGCCATGAAAAACCTTCATAAAACATGTGCGTGTAAAATCATGCTCAATAATGCTGAAAACGTCGCTCGAAGGCAAATCCATAAATCTCATCAGTGAAGTACTCAACAAAGGGTATCATAGTCGCTCGAACACAATACATGTCCATCACCCGAAGGTGAAGCTGAATAACATGTCCATCACCCAAAGGTGAAGCTGAATAACATGTCCATCACCCGAAGGTGAAGCTGTATAACCTGTCCATCACCCGAAGGTGAAGCTGAATAACATGTCCATCACCTGTAGGTGAAGCTGAATCGAATAGCATAACATCCATATCGACACTAGCCGTGGCTAGTGAAGTTGTCCAACACCACTTTTGGCAGTGAAGCTAGGGGTATATAATATATCATATCTCACTCCTCCACCATATGTGTCCTATGGCCATATACAATACCCGTGGTGTGCGGATGTGCCGTATGATAACCCACTAGGTAAGTATTGAAAACATAACTCAAAACTTGAGCCAAATCACCAAAGCTCAAGGGTTCAAAATCTCATCGCATAAATCGTATATAAAACATATTCGTAAAACCAAGGGTTTCATATATGCAAAACCAATAATTCATCACCATTATTAAACGTAAATTCGATAAATTATAAATATTTTGTAAAGCAATGTAATTAAATCATGAATTCTATATAAACCATAATAATAGAAAATCCCGAAAAACATAATTAAAACGTATTAAATGAACGAAATATGACATGCATGCTAAGCTAATATTTTATAAAAATATACAAGTTATGAAGGGGTCCACTTACAAGTTTTCCATTGCCCGAAAGCTACTCGAACTATCGAGAATGTGATCACTTCCCACCATTGCGCCTAAACACAATTAGGAACCTATTAGCAAAACTCTACTAAAACATTATAATTTTGGAAAACGGATGGCGGATTCGGATTCGGCACGTCGAGGAACCTTGGGTTTTTCCTCCACGCGCCGCCGCACGTGGCGGTCGGCCACTTCGATTCGCCAGAAAATCTAACAACTCCAAAAATTCCCAAATTTTACAAGAATGAAGATCTTGATGAGAGAACAACTTCCATACCTGCGTCCAAGGCCAATTTCGCCGGGAAAAGCCCTAACTTCACTCAAACCCATTGGAAACCTTAAAAATAGGTGGCTTCGATTCAACTTCTCTAGTGTTCCACCGTTTCCATGGTTGGTTGGGTTTTGTTCCTGGGCTCAAGGGAAGGCTAATGGTGGTGGTGGTTGAAAGAATCACCTTCAGAAATGGCGAATCTCCGCCGATCTCCCCCACGTTGCCGCCGATGCTATCCCCTCAAAACCAAGACTAAAAACCATCGGGTTTGGGGTGGAACTTGAAGAAGAAGAGTAGTTGAGTTGATTCTAGGTGGTGGAGATGGCCAATTTGTAGGGAAAAAGTCGGAATCAAGTTGGGTCACACGGGTTAAGGGGGATCTGGCGGTTCCTCTCCATCTCCCATTCTCTCATTTCTCTCATGTCTCTTATCCTCATTGGTTCACTCCCTTCTCATTTTACCTGACTGAGCAGCACCCACCCTCCTTTATCTCCTTATCTTTCCCATCTCCACCGTCCATTTTCTCCTTTCCTTTATTCTGGGCCACACACGTGGCTTCCCCACTGCTCCAGATTTTGCTGGAGCCTTCTAGAAACAAGGGTTAAATTTACTAAAATGCTCCTGACTTTAAACATTAATAACTCATTCGTTATATCTCCAAATTATGTTTTGTTTGCGCACACGCGCTCGTATCGACGAGTACTACCCAAATACATCAAGAAACATATTTTACGTGACACAACAAGACAGTCAACAAAAGTCAACGTATTTGACTCGAAGGGCATTTTCGTAAATTCACATTTTAAAATTATAAAAACTATAATTTTTAGGGACTGGTCGTTACACCTTTTCATTAAAAATGAACAGTACCGAGAATATTTTGTTAAAACTCCCTTAAATAAATGATTTTATCACGCTTTGGAAGAAAGGTATCTAGCCTAAATGCAAAGACGGGCGTATAGGCAGAAGATGTTAACCTAGCAGAAAGCGTGAGGAGGAAGACTTCTTACACTCAAGTTCAAAGCTCTTTATATGTAAATTCGAACATCTTGCACTCAAGTTCAAATCTCTTTATATGTAAATTAGAGCAAATAAAAGTGAAGGCTTATTAGTTGAATTACCTCATGAAACTGCCATTTAGTCTCAATTTACACTTTGGAAATGGTTTTGTCTCACTTTGCCAATGAAATTGCCTTTTCTACTCATTTGGTCTCATTTCACCCAATTCCGTTAAAGAAACGTTAAACTCAAGCCTAATAAATCATTAAATTCAAGTCTAATAAATCATTAAATTCCTTTATCTTCTTTCATAAACCCTAATTTGTTTCGCAAAGAAGATCAGTTGATTGAACTGAAGGGCTGGATGGAGGCAAGACAAAGAGCTGTTGTAAAAAGTGAAATGTCCAAAATACTCTTGAATTTAATGTTTCTTTAACGGAGTGGGGGTGAAGTGAGACCAAAAGAGTTGAAAATGACTGCTTCAGGGAGCAAAGTGAGACAAAACTAGTTTGAGGAGTAAATTGAGACTAAATGGCAGTTTCATGAGGCTATCAATTCAGTTAATAAGCCTTAAGGTGAATTAGAACATATCTTAGTCAAAAGCCCTACTCTCACGTTGGTTTGGCTAAGGTCTAAACAAGGGCTGCATTCTAAGCATCAATTAACATGGACCTGGTTGCATTTTCCAACTAAATTAAGTATAAATTGCTTGCATTTCTCCATTTGGTAGGAAGAAAGTAGAAAAACAATGGCGAAGTCAATAAACATTGAAAGTGGACAAGAATATGAGGGATGGGTGAAGAGGTGGGAGGAAGATGGTGGGTTGTTGTCAAAGTGCAGAAAGCAGATAGGATGCCCTAATCAAGCTGATTCAGGCAAATCTGTTTCTGATAAAACAATGGGAGTTCCTTTCAGTTGTGGTTATTCATCTTTCAAATCTTCTTGCACCTACCATTAAATAAAGGATTGACAGAATGTGAGAGCCTGAAAGTGACTGGCTATGAAACCCTAGCTTCAACTTAGAAATGGGGCATCTTGTATCAGGATTTCACCTCAACAACTCTTGTTTTTTCTTCAATTTTTTTATACCGGCGATGTTAGGGAGGAGGAAATCGAGCCTAGGACTTCGAGTGCAGGGTAAATGCTTTTAATTGCTTGATATTCAAGTCTCTAATTGCTTGATATTCAAGTCTCATTGCCAACAACTCGTTTGAGTGTGAGTTTTGAGATACAAGCACTTGTCACCAACCCATTGCAAACTATGCATTCTTAATTGAAGATGTTAATTAAGACTAGCTTAAGGATACTGCATTCTCCAAATAAGTTTCCAAATTTCGATTCTCTTTTGCGTGGGAGAAACAATTAGGGGCGATTTGGATGGAGCAATTCCAAATCTAGGCTAGATGCTAAGATTTGGATAAGAAGAATGAAGAAAACAAATTTAAATGCATCCAACATAGAGCACCAATGCTTTAGAACCACAATTAGAACACAATCTAAGCTCACCTTTTATTGCAGGCAGTAACCAAAGAATCCCCTAAAAAACACACACACACTCTCTCGCTTTCTTTGCAATCCAATGTTACGAAAATTAACAAACTTAGCACAACCATGGAAGTAAGTAATATTTGGGAATCATTAACCGGAAAAAACTTTAAACTAACTGCGGTGTAAAGAACGTCAGCCGTGTGAGAACATCAGCTGAATGGAAGAGATATGCTAGCACTCAGTGGGAAATTCTCTGTTTATTTAGCCCATTCCTTTCGAATATCGAAGGTGTAATTGATCTCCAAGTAACACTTGTTATCATCGTCAAGAAACTGCAATAACAGAAAGACAACAGAATTAGACTTTGTAGTGGCGACTATATTACTGCAGTCAACTGAAATAAGATCATGTAACTTAGTAAATACTTCTCTCTTGGATTGTAAAGACAGTGGCTGTGGTGCCAATGATTCTGACTGGAAATCCTAAGATACTTCAACTAGGCTTACCTTCGATCTTGCAGAATATGATCCTCTGGCAAACATGCCAGAAGGTGTGGTCTCTTCTGGCATCACATGTATGTAAGGCTCTTGCTGAGGACTGAAAGTTCCAATCATCTCTTTTGTGCTGTCGACTGAAATTAAAATCCTCGTGAATGGAACAGTTCAAGTGCACAATATTTCATTTTACAGGAACAATCAGAATTAAGATAGACGGCTTACCCTTGACACCAGTTTTCCAAACAGTGTTGGTGTACTTGAGACCGGATACGATGTTATTGCTAACTTGGAAGGAGAACTTCAGGTTGTGCGGACTACCTTCTTTCAGCGTGAACCATAAGCCTTTGGGTTTCCCATCTCCCGGAATATCAAGAACAATGTCAGGTCTACCAGGAGAAAGGATTGAAAGCTGAATGAACTTCACTTCTGGTTCAAGAGTTTCTGTTGTAAAAGAAGGGAAAGAATTACTATGTGCAAGAAGGAACAAAAAACAATTGAAACAAAAGAGGAACCTATAAAGGGAAGTAAATCAATACAAATTGATCACAGCAATCGAACAGGTATACGGCAGACTTTTAAGAAATTTATAGTCTCCGTGAAGCGTAAAAATATTAGAAACAGAAAGTTAGACCAAATTCTCAATTCTAAATATACATCCTTACCATCAAACTAGTCACCAGTGCTGTTTTTGTAGAATTCTATGATAAAGATAACCTCATTCATGTGGCCAGATTGACAATTTCATTCTACATTGCACAAGTCTACAAGATTGGAGGTAAAAGATTCCAAAAATGTTCTGGTAAAATGACAGATAGGTGAAGAATCACTAGTTTCTCATAAATGTGGCCAATAATTGACAGTTTCATCTCGACATTTCACAAGTTTACAAGATTGGAGGCAAAAGATTCCCAAAAATGTTCGAGAGACAGGTGAAGAATCACTAGTTGTCAAAGTTAAAAAATAGGGAACTTTAACGAAAAGCACCCGGTACTGTTCATTTTAACGAAAAACCACATTTTTACACTAAAAAGTCAATCCTGGTACTATTCACTTTACCCTTTATTTTGTCCTTATTATTAAAACTCAAAGTTTTCAAGCATTTTTCATTAGTTTTCCTTAAAAAATATGGTTGTTTTACTATTAAGTTCAGATACATACCTTATGCTGCAAGATACACATATGCAAAAAGGAAGAAGTGGAAGAATAAGCTCTAAAGTGTTCAGACAGCAACATGTAATCACAGGTTTACGAGAAAGTTGAATTATGTGGCAATGTAGAACTGATATTCATTTTACAATCATGATTCTTGATAACACTGTTCATTCAAACGGAAAATACTACAAATTATGCATAATCATTCTAAATAATGATTTATTTTTGGTATATTATAGGCTGCATAAAGCGATTTCATCGTGTGTGTGTACACGGGAGCTTATAGCCTGAGCACAACGTCTCCGAGATGATCCTTGTTCTATCTTCTTCATATATATGCAACATGACAATTCATGGTAGAATCATAATCAAAATAATGAAAGCATATACAAATTCTCACATGAAAATTTGCTTCAGAAACAAGCTTAACAGGAACATTGACTTAAGTAATGATACGCGTTAAAATACAAACATTCTTAAGATACGAAATCATATTACTGTACAGGAAAGGAAAGGACATCCAATAAAAGTAGAAAAGAAAAAGAGGTTAAGGGAAAGTTACACTTTAATTATTTCCAATTAGTTACTAACCACTCTGATCATTGCCAATCATCAACAGTGCAAGATTAAAGTCAAACGAAATGACATTTAATAAAATTTTAGTAAAAATAAAAAAGCTGTGCTGATGAAATGAAATTTCATACCTCCAACATTCTCAAAATCCACAGCCCCAAGAAGCTGCTCCTTCCACCTCCTCAAACTCTCATCATCCTGAAACAACAAAGTCAACCAACAATGCGGCCAGGAACGGAGCTAGAAATTTCTTCTAGTGGGGGCAACCGAAAACAACTAAAAAAACTTTAGTATAATATAGTTATACGCAATATGATATTAAAGATAGTTTCAAATGATGATGTATCACAATTCTAATGTTACAAAAATTTCAATATAGTACATGATAGGCGGGAGATGGTTTTCTCGGTTTGAATGACAGAACAAAAGCACTATTGCTATATATTTTTGATAGAGTATAAGTAGAATAAATGTATGTTGAATATTAGATACATATATTTTCTTCAAAGATAACCCGTGTATATTATATAATTGTAGTATGCAACTAAACAAACGAATCACTTTGAGTGAGAGCATATGCCCTAGTGAGCCTTCTTTGGCTCGTCCATGAATGCAGCAAACAAACAAAAGTCAACAACCCAACAATATTAAAAAGGTAGTCTCGAACCCAACAATATTACATAAATAAAATAAAATAAACGTAAAAGATGCACTTTTTTTGCCATTAATTGAGCAGAAAAAAAACAGACCTTATCCTTCTCAATCTGTTCTTTGAGAGTGCATTGGGGACCCAACTGAATTTTACTGCTTCCCTCTTCGTCTTCCTCCTCCTCAGCCGCAGAAACAGAAGTCTCACTCATCTGCCTCCCAATCCCCTCCACTCCTTCATTATCTGTATCATCCTGGTTTTCTTTCTTTGTTTCTTTGTCACTCTTCTCTCCTCCCCCCATCTTCTTGGAACTTGAAATAGCTCCAAAATCCAGAAACTTATCAACTCATCAACCGCCACAAAAGAAACCCACCTAGCTACGGCGAATTGCAGTAGAACTGAACAAACCCATTACACCAAAAACAGAGTTCAAGGTTCTTGCCTTGTGAATTCGAGAGAATATGGAAGAAACCCAGGTGGGGAATTGGGGAAGAAATGGCAGAACTGAGATGATTTGTGTTTTGGGGACAACCCAATAAGGGAAATAATTGTCTGTGTGTTGGGGAATACACAAGAAATAAGACCCTGAAAGCAAAAAAGGAAGAGAAAGAACAAGGCAGAAGGGGAAAATTTGCTCTTTTGTCTCCTATTGCTTTTTCTGTGGTGGGTTGTTGTTGAATTTCTCAAAAGGGATGAGAGAGATTGGGATAATTTGTCAAACCGAGTGAGAATTGGTCCTGTGGTGATCCGAAATGAGTGAGAGAGAGAACGTGTAGGTCACTAATGCAGAAGTTTATGGAGATAATGGGGAACGTAAAGTTATATGTATGTTCTGCTCTGAACATTATCCCCTTTATCCCCTGCATGTATGGGGATTTAGGATTTATTGTAGGGACCTACGTGCCATTGAAGGAAATGTAGTCCCCACTCATGAATGTGTCTTCTCTTTTAATTTTCTTATTAGGGGATGCTAATCAATGTTTGTTACTAGAGAAATAATATTGGTAAGGTTGCAAGGTGTTGGATAGAATTGCACCTATTACTTGTGAAAAATGATAAATGATAAGTCATTTCATGCAATGTAGTCTCCACGTACATCAATGATCGGAAGTCACTCGCTCACGCGCCTATAAGTAACTAATCCAAACATAATTTATTTAACATCAGACTTCACGATCAATTAGACCAAAAGCTTAAATTGTTGCAATATCAAAACACCATGATTGATAAAGCTAAACTTAGTGACTCATTTTCAAAAGCGTAACACACAATTTTATAATTGTCAAAACATAAAATATATTTTTTTTGAACAAACAATCTACATTAAGGGGGGTAGGGGTGGGCTTAGCCTCACAATGGTTTAGCAATAATCTAGTTTAAATTTTCCTTTAACGAGAATCGAACCTAATACCTCTAATTTATAAGTGAAGAAAAATATTGCTAGACTATAGTACTAAACAATAAAACAGCAAAATTATTAACGTCAATGGTGCCACTGTCATGGCAGACTCTTTTGGAAGGTTGGAACCATGGCTGACATAAGAGGCTTTGTAATGAAGGTGTAAAAGCATAAACCCAATCTCTATGCTTTATGGGCTTTATTGCATCTTTCTAGAGGCCATATAGTCCTACAGCCTATGACTTTCTCACAACCTTTTTAAGCCCCCAAGACCGAGGGATTAAAGACCATTTTGTCAACAGCCCTTCCTCTGTTAGCCCTCTTTACCCATCGTTTTATCTCTCTACGAAAAGCAAGAGCCTTCATGCATGCACGCGTCCACAACGAACACAAACGCCGACCTCACGAGTCACGCCTCTCGAACCAGCATCCGACACCATAGATGATAAGGACGACGATGACGACAACCCATTTGTCCAATACTAATTCGAGCTGGAGTTGAGAATTTCGTGGGCGATTTTGGCGTGCTCAATGGCGTCGTAAGTCGGAAAAAGATCGACCGGGAGGTTGGTGCCGCCGATGTTGGAGTAAGATTGAGGGAAAGAGTTCATATGGTGGCAGAAGGAGCAGAACCAGATGCGAGAAGAAGCTGAATCAGTCTTCCTATTTTGTTTTTTTGTTGTAATTCTTTGATAAATTTATGTTATGGCTTTTGGCCTTTAATGATATTCCAATTCCAAAAAATGATGTTAGAGGTATCGACTTCAAGTGCTTTAAGATGCCGTCGAGATTTAATCAAGATGTCGTCGAGATGCATTCGATACGCCGTCGAGATGTCGATGAGTATTTGGGCGTAGGGTTTCGAAACCTCTGATTATAGTGTAAATTTAATCAAAATTAGTAACTGATTGGGTTTAATTGCTCGAAGAACACGAATTTTGTTTAGTGAAGGTTTGTGTTGCAGTGGTCTGAATAGAAAGGGAAGTGTTTGGGTACTTGGGTAGTGACGAATTTCTATTTAATTTATAATATAGAGATAGTTATCACTTACAAGATGCAGTTTGATTTAAAACTTCAGAAAAACTTTATAAATTATGTAAATGGTCTTAAAAGAAATAAAAGAATAAAAAATTGGTAAAGAGAGTAATTGGACCAAGACCCGTGCAATCAAAATTCAAAAGAGAGGAGATGGTGGGAACATAATGAATTCACCCTACCCGTCCGTTTAAATTGAAAGCTAATATGGTGGTCCCCACCCCTTCATCTTCTTCCTCCCGGCCTGCAACATCATTTTTCAAGAAACATTTTTAGATCCCGGAGTCTTCTCATACGCCCGCCTAGCTTCCGCCTAGCCCTGCCCAAACCCGTATAGCTCCGCCTAGACCCGTCTAATCCCACCTTGGCGTCCACCTAATACATTTTCCGATTTTGTGACCGATTAACAGTTAATCAGAGCGGTCGGTCACCGTCCAGCGGCTAGGCCGATTTTTAGAACACTGCCTAAAATTGTATAAAGTAGATAAAGAAACGACATTTTTCACCTTTAAAATGTAAGTATTGGGAAGTTGGCACTAACAGTGGATTTCCTAAGTTTAATTGATGGGTTTGTAATAGGGCTAATAAAGTAAATTCCCTATTTGAATCTTATGACATTAAATGTTATGTAGTTCTCAAATCGTTAATTTGTTCGATACATTTGAATAACTAAATGATTTTCGATTCGAATGACAATTTTTTACAAATGAACATCAACTCAAGAGTGAGATATTGAATGGTTTCGAGTATAAAATTTATACGTCATTTGTAATAGATGAGATATGTGAGTATTATCCATTTAGGAGGAGGGAAAACGGGCATAACATGATTTTTGTTGCAAATGTAAGGGTAGACGAGACACGGGAGGATGAACGGCGAGAAGGCTAAGAGGGGATGGAAGATAAAAAAAAGAGGGGGGAAGGGTAGAGGAGGATAGAGGGTAGGGAGGACAGGAAGAAGGTGACAAAGACTGCCACTAGCCCCAAGTCGGAGCAAGGGGCCACGACTGTGGAGTTCCTGGATCCTAGGGGTTTTTTTGAGAAGGAGAGAAAGCGGGCTTAGAGATAGAAAGGGTCTTTTTTATTTTATGTTATGCAACGGCATGTGATGACGTGTGGTGGATTGCCCTGATTAATATGACATATTTCTTCAACTCACTGTATTGTAGGTTCAAACTCTTCTCCTTCTTGTTGTTTAGATGAATTTAATGTAAATTACTTTCTAATTTGTATAGAAAATACTTTCCTATAAAATATCATTCTTGACTACTTTTTATTTAATACAATGATACTGATTTCTTAGCTAATAAGTCCATTTGGAGAGTCATTTGAGTTTGCAAAGGCCTTCCAATTGTATGCATTTAATTATTATGATTTTGTCAAAATCGGATTTGATATGTCATACCAAACAACTTGAGGCGGTAAAAGTTAATAGCTAGAAGCCTAAATATGCCCCAAAAAAGTCTACTAACGCAACCTTAGTTGTTTTACACTTGGAAAATAAATAGAGGTGTGGCTTCAGTATTGTTACGTGTCATTAAATGCTTATTTATAGTGATCAACCTTTTTACATGCACACGCCCGCGCCGAAGACATTTCTGTTCTAAACGAAGCCAAGCGGATGATATGGAGAATTCTCTAATCCAATGACCCTACAACAAAGAAGCTTGCTTAATACACTAGCTAACATTCGTCTTATGTTGCATAAGCAGGAAGTAATTTGGCAATCAAATGCGGTGACTTGTACGGTAAAATTAATTAGGGGCAACTCGATGGTTGCCTCCATGAAGTTGATAGTGAATCACACAAATATGGCTTTCTAGTGTGATTATCTTGGCTTCATATTTCATTAATCACGAGTGAATCAGCTTAAATTCTTATCACATGCATGAAGATTTTTCTTTACTTATTTGTGAGTATTAGCAAAAGATTAATAAAAATCTCGAGGATTAATTTTTCAAATCATGCAAGGAGATGGAAAAAGATGAGGGAAAACTAATTTAAAAAGTTTGAAAATTTTGAATTTTAATAATAAGAACAAAATAAAAAATAAAATAAATAGTACTAGAATTAATTTTTTAATATAAAAATATAATTTTTTGTTAAAATAAATAGTAACTTAAAATTTTCGTTAAAATTCTGGAAAGATAAAATAGAACGATAGATTAGGAAAGCCTTTTCATTGCCCAACCTGTCACACGTCTGTTATTCATGATTTGTCACGTGGACCCACAAATTGAACACAAAAGTAGTACCATATCATGTCCATCGCTGACAGGGAGCCACATCCCACTACGTGGTCGGTGTGGCTTTGCCACGTGTCACATTCAGTGGCACAAGAGTACAGCAAAGGTACTGTGAATCTCTTGTGGGCTCCTTATAAGCGGGCCAACCCCACCGCCCAACCCTAGCCTAAAAGTCCTTTACAGCTTTTGATAATCATTGCCAAAACCCTAAAAAAATAATCTGAAATCAGAACTGAATGAAACGGCACGTAGGACTTCAATCATGGTTGTAAATTGTAATGTATACAACAGCCATCCCAAAGCCATGATCGCCAGCTGCTAGTAGCGTACGAAGTTATCAGTTGCAATATTGAACATGCATGCATGGGGTAGATTTGTTCTTGGAATTGATTGTGCGACTTGGTGTTGGAGCCAAATCACACAAAGAATGTTATAGGTATCGGTGACACTCTAGTATATGAGCATTGGAGATCACATTACTTTGTGGATCGCATTTCTAACTAATAGAAATTCGATTCACTTATGCATTTTGCAGTCTATGAATATAATACAGACAGTTGCACTATATTAGTTAATTCGGTTTGTTTTTGCTTAACTGTATCTAGTTTCAAGTTAATGTGATTAGCAAGAGTTTGGTTATTAATTTTAAGAAAATGCTAATGACATTATTCATGTGTCCGTGTATAACTGTCAACTGTTGATTGTTGTGAATCTTACCACTACAGTTTTCTACCTTTTAGTGAAAACAAAAGTAAAACTCTTAACCCTGCCTATAAGAAGTCTAGCTTGTTAACGTTAGGGTTTGATAAGAAATTGAATGTTAATATGATGAATTGTGGGGAAAAGGTACCGAAATGTTGCAACATGAGTATACATCATCACATGTGTGACTCTCTTCCAATTCAGCCAAGGACGCCAGGGAAATTGGGTCAGAAAACAATTAGTTGGGTGTCGCATATGGTGATGGAACATATTGTAATTTGTATATGATGTTCCGCATCAGAATTTTATTAATTTCCTGAAGGAAATTGTGGCTATTGGCTATTAGGGTTCCCATAATCTAAGGCCGGCCTAAGCATGATGTTTCACAATTGGTCTACTTATTAAATGTTTGGTTATATCAAACATTTTAAAATTTTGGAGGAGACTAAAGAAGAATAATGATGAACAAAATAGCTATAAATCAAAACAAAGATGTAAATGCCTCATATTAACTACAATGTTTAGCATGGTTTCTGAAAAAAAAAAGGTCCATTTTCCTACAACAATTAAAAAGGTCCATTTTTTAGTGTGATTGACACACGAGATGATACACCACGTGTCACTATATAAATTGTACGATATATGTGTTAAAAAGTTAATAATTTAAAAATTAAAATTTCTCATCACTTACCTAAAAACACATGGTGTACCACTCATATTCTCATCACAATAAAAATTTTCTCCCGACTGAGGTTCTCTCGTGCATCAACCATGAGGCAGTGAGGTCTATGGACTCCTCTATATAAACCATATCATTGATCATTTTTATTCATTGCAACCATTAGTTTTAATTTGTTCTTTGCTTTCTCAGTCTTTTAAGTTTGCCCTTCTCTTGATCTTCTTATTTGTTCAATTTGATCACTTTTCGACTCCCATTATGGCCACTGCTCAGGTATTCACTCAACTTCAGTTCTAGATTGGCTTATTTTACATTAATTTATGAGAAGTAGTTCCGCACATTTATTTTGTCTCTCAATATATTTTTATTTATTTTGTCTCTCAATATATTTTTATTTATTTTTGTTCTCCATCAAAGAAGAATTAAGGAATTAAAATAAAAAGAGTTGTGCAAGAAATCATTCCCTTAATTTGGTGATGATAATTTCAAACTCTTTTGGAAATTTAACTAATTGACCCTTTAGTTGAGTATAAAATATTAAGTTAAGAGTTTTATATGTACGTATATATGATCATGCAGGTTGTATCAGCACAGACAGCCCTTCCTGTAGAGGACACAACTCATCACGAGGAATCAGTCAAGGCTCAAGAGATTGTTATCACTCCTACTACTGAAGAACCAGCAGCTGAAGTTGCGGATGAACCAAAGGAAGCTGTTGTGGCTTCTGAGGAAGAAGTACCTAAGGCTGAGGTCGAGGAAACCGTAGTTGAAGCTGAGGCAAAGGATGTGAAGGTAGAGGAGCCCAAGGAAGTTGCAGCAGTCGAAAAAGAAGAAGAACCAACTGTGGAGAAGACTACAACTGAAGAGGAAACTACTACACCTAATAAGGTAGCACCTGAGCCAGAGCCAGAACCAGTACTTGAGGAGGAGGCCAAGGACAAGGAGGATACTGCTGATGACTCTGCTGAGATTCCTCCGGTGGTACCAGTTACACCGGAGGCAGAATCAGCAGTTGAGGCCCCTAAAGAGGAGGTAGCAGTTAAGGAAGAAGAGAAGGCAACTGAGGTTGAGGAGAAAGTTGGCACTGAAGCTCCTGGGGTGAAGGCTGAGTGATTTGGGGTTTGCATGAATGTTAAGGGATCTATCAGATGTCTTTAATTTAGTGGTTTAAGAAATTAAATAAGGAGTAACTAAGAAAATGATCAGGTGTGTGTGGAACCTAGTTAATGCTAGCTTTCCATATACATATGGTAGACATGATGAATTGTATCGTGGTGCATGTACGTACGTTTGAACATTTGAATAATAAGTCGATCATTGTAGTACTATATATATAGCTACTACTTCCATGAAAATTGAGTCACGTTCATTTTTCAGTACTCGTTCAAGCTTTTCTTTCTAGTTGATAGTTTCTTTTTCCTTATTTACAACAAAGGTGCATCATGGAGAGTAGCACATGATGGTCGGAAGAAATAAACTCAATTGTTGAATATTTAGGGATTTAAGGTATACCCATGGATTCATTGGAAAGGTTAATATGAATGCCACCATTGATAATTTGTGTGAAATGCATTTTCATTTCTCAAGTAGCCATATTAACAATTGTTAGGCGACACGACTCTATAATTTAATCCACAATTAAGAGCTTATACTGAAGTAGTGATATGTATGCTACCAATGATAATTTGTAAATTGCAATTTGATGTCTCAAATAGTCACCTAATAGATGATATATATGTGGACAATTTCTATAATTTGATTCTTCAAGTTATTCAGGCTGATGTCAATATTTATCGGTAGCTACTAATTAAGTATAATTGTGTTAATAACTATGCTGCTTGAGAAGCTCTTTCTACCTAGGAATACCTTCGACTAGTACACCAATGATTCAATACCATTAGCTGTATAAAACCTCCCAAACACAAACCATATAAAAAGCTTGATGGGCCTTGAGAAGAAAAATGATATGAAAAGCGTGAAGAACTCTCTTAACTTTATCCTGTGCATGGAATTTTCACCCAACATTTGTCTTTTATGATCTTTGGACGGGAATTGAGTCAATTGACAAATGAGTTCCACCAAGGCTAACCTAGTGGACAGAAATGAGCCAAAATTGCCGATTATTCCCTTTTATAATTATAAAGATAATGTTTAATAATTTTCAAATATAGTTTTTGTTCATCTGTAATGACTCAATTTTTTCATTTTGACAAACCAAATGGCCTCACAGCTCATTCAACCAACAGTGACCAAAGGAAGGGATGAAGTTTATGTTGCAGCAGTGCCTCTAAGAGCAACAAAAGGAGCTGCGCCCAGCTGCTTACATCTGCTGCTTACTCTCTCAATCTCTGGAATTTGCAGCATTTCATGGTTATTATCAAACCCTCTTCATCACCACCTGATTGTCAGGTTCTCCTCCCTCTATTTCTCTGGATAAGGTTATTATAATAATTGGCACCTTAATATTCTTCTTGATTTTCTTCGCCAAAATTTAACTCTCATGCAATTCAATTACCAAACTTGACTGCAGAGTGTTTAAAATAGGTTAACTGAGATTAAATACTAAAATGCTAGTTTTTTTCCCTTTTTTTTTTAAATTTTATAAACGATAACGTTGGTTGGTTAAATAGTTAATTAGTTAGGCCTAATCGGATAAATGGTCTCCGTGGTCATAAGGTATTCGGATGATTGCCCACGTGGTAAAAAAATTCGGATTTAAACCCTTGTGGTCTAAGTCTGTTAGGATTTATGCCCTTCTGTTAAATAATGCTGACGTGGCTGCCACATATATGTCACGTGGCTGCCAAATGTCTGCCACGTGGCAAAAATAATAATTTTTAATTTTTTTTTAGAAAAAACCTGAATTTTTACAAATAAAAAAAAAAAACCCCGCCCTCCCATGATATATATATATATATATATATATATATATATATATATATATTTTGGTAAAAATTCAGGTTTTTTTTTAAAAAATAAAATAAAAAATATTATTTTTGCCACGTGGCAGACATTTGGCAGCCACGTGGCATATATGTGGCAGCCACGTCAACATTATTTAACAGAAGGGCATAAATCCTAACAGACTTAGACCACAGGGGTTTAAATCCTAACAGACTTAGACCACAGGGGTTTAAATCAGAATTTTTTTACCACAAGGGCTATCATCCGAATACCTTATGACCACGGGGACCATTTATCTGATTAGGCCAATTAATTATTAGGATAAAAGGAATCAGTGAGGATATGTTACAGTTTCTTCGTTTTAAATACCGATTTTTTTTCCTATTTAGATTTAATACTAGTTGAGAACTTGAGAAGTCTAGCTCAAGTGTCCTAATTAGTACTTAATCTGAACAGTTTTTTTTGGGAAAATGTCTATTAACATGGACCTGGTTTCCATATTCTGTTACCTATTCAATACAAAAGTTTCAAAATTTGAACTCTAATGTCTTTGAGTCTTTTTTTTTTTCAGGCAATGGTTTTCGATTTTCAACCTAAAGATCCTGAAAACATATATGTAGCCCTTGCAGTTCTATCCGGGAAAGCAACATCCGGTGAGCCTAGCTACGTACATCATCTACTACATCTTTGATGTTGCTCAAGAGAGCATAGTTCATCGCTAATTGACATGCATTAGTAAGTTATTGAAAACGTGATGCAAGCATCAATGTCCAAATAATACTCAAAATTAAAACTGGCCGATGCACCTCAAACCGGGGATTGTTCTTGTTCGTCCTCTTTGATGTTATGATATACCGTCTTGAAACACTATTTCTTTGAATCCTTGCTTATCTCGATTTTATTTTCATTCTAGTTCCTGATAGTTAATAAACAGTTTAATGGGAATGCCTGAATCTGTTTCCTGCTTACCCCAATTCATGTCCTTGCTTATCTCGATTCTTGCCGAATTGGATTCTTGCTTATCTTGATTCATGCTTACCTCGTTTCTTAGTTACTAAACATGCCTCTAAACAAATGAATGTATAAGATAAACTAGCGGTGCATAAATCGCTTGGGCAGAAGCCGCAGAACACAATAATATGAGCCCAAAATCGCTTTTGTGATTCCTCAGCAGTCAAATCAATTGGGGCTAACCCAAACACCCCAAGATACTAGTAAGCCCAAAATGTGCAAAAATATCCAATTAAGCATTTTTATGACTTTTTCCCAAACGAAATGACGTTACCATCACAATCTAACAAAATATACAAGGACATGATTGGAAATGTCTTTAAAATAACTAGTAGCACTTTCAAATCACAAACCGTGCCCTAAAATTCCGGCAAACCTTAACGTTCTTATAGCAAGTAGGTTTTTTCTAGGAACTTTAATGAAAAACTTTCGATACTGTTTATTTTAATAAAAAAAAACATTTTTACACTAAAAAGTCAATCATGATACTATTCACTTTACTCTTTATTTTGTCTTTATCATTAAAACTCAAAGTTTTCAAACATTTTTCATTAATTTTCCTGTTTTTTCTAACGTCATAGTTGCATGTAATTTTGTAGGGTAAAGATATGGTTGATGAGAATGAATCATAGGATCACCAATCATTAAAGGGCTAAAACACAAGTTATAACCAAACCAAATCCTTGGTGGGGTGGGTGCAACAACAGCTCACCAGCTCCAGCTGAGACATTTGCCACCATATTTTTTGGGTTAATTCGTTACTTTTATCAAATTAAACAGGCATTTCCATAGTTCTCAAACCTTTCTGGAAAAAATAAATAAATCGAATGCAAATGCAAATGCTTTGAACAAATGTATGGAAATTAATACCTCAAATTAGAATGTTAATTACGATTCAAGTTTACAGAATAGTTCTACAGAGAAAGTACAAATATAATGATGAATACAAGGATTAACAAAAACTTCAAAAGAAAATCAACAACTAACAAAATAAAACCCTAAAATTAATCTCCTATACCAACTTGTAACAAAACCCAATAACCCAAATTCTATCTTCTACCCAAATGAATAACACAGCAGTCTCCTCAAATCAAAGAACAGAGTCAGCCGCAATGCCGAGCCAAATAATTTGTATACCGCCAACGGCGAAAACAAAACAAATCAATCCGAATTGTGCAGCAAGTAATGAATTTGACATATCTTCCACAATGTATTAACTCAAATGCTCTGCTAAAGTTGGCAATCTTCAGAACCTCCATCAATGCAAGCTTCCGAAAAACCAACCAAAGCGATGGATGAATCGAATCGGACCCAGAAGCCGAAAACTCTCAGAACAGGCCGAACAAGACGGAGAAGCCGAGGACGATGAGCCAAACAATATGAACCAAAAGCAAAGCTTGAGCAGAGTGGGGGGCGGAGCCGCCGCTACCCACCTCACAAAACCCAATTTTCGCCACCTTGACCCCAGCGCATTGGGCATCTTGGCACCCACACCAGTAGGTCACGCCATCGACGCCGCAGACCGGGTCAGGGCGGAAGCAATTGACCGGGCACAAGGAGGCTGACCGGGTCGACCGGCCGCAGGCGTCAGCGGGCTCGGAATCAGAGGGCAATCTGATGAGGGTGGGTTCGGATACGGACTCTGGTTCTGATCGGACGGCTGGGAAGGAGCAGAGGACGATGAAGAAGGCGAAAAGAACAAGGGAAGAAATTGAAATTAGGGATTTGGGGAATTGGGTATCCATAATGTGGAGGTAAAGATTTGATCTTTGAGAAAAGAAAAGCAAAACCCTAGAATTCCAGCCTTCCCTGAAGCTCTGAACCTTCCCCCAAATTCAAAGAAAGCTTCATGCTTTTTTCCCCAAATTCAAGAAATCCTCGATCTTTTTTCCCAAATCGAAGCTTGGTATTTTGGGGGTTCTCTCGAATTCGACTTCACGTTTGGAATCGAATGTAAAATCACTTTAATTTTTGTTTTTTTTGGGGTCGAAAGGAATTGGAGAAAAAATTGGGAGAAATTGAGGAAGCCCTAATTTTGAGGTTGAAGAAAGAAAGAAAGAAAGGGGAAGGAAACGAGACATTTGGTTGACGCGGTAATTATTCCCTAGAAGGATCAGAAATGTGGTCCGGAATTCGGACAGTGAACGTTGGAATATAACCTAGCTGGCAAGCTGCCAGCCCTTGATCTTCTCAGCCGTTGATTTGTTCTTGTTTACCTACTTTGTTCTTTGTGTGCTTTTTAGTCTCTTGATTTAGTTAAAAACCAAATTTTCAATTTTTTTTTATTAATTAAAACAAATATGCTTAATTGATAAGAACTAGGTTTCATGATTGCCTTGGTGTTTTGGCATGTTACCCTTTTGAGGATGAGACCAGAGAAATCGAAATTGGAAGATAAGGTTGTGTAAATAATGTCATATGTATTCAAAAAATTAGACAATAATTTATTACATAACAAACTATATATTTGAATAATATTTCTTTTGAGTTTTTTACCTTTTAATGTAAGGATTTGTTTCCACTTTAATCCTCATCCTAATCAATATTGGATATTCTACCTTCTTTTCTTTGCTGAGTTGGATTTTCTAAGTAGTCCACGATTCTATTTGGAATTTTTTTTTCATAGATTGTAATCAAATACATGACTATTAGCCCACAAAGTAGTCACACCGTTATGTAATATTACTAGTTTACATGTTTTATTGTGAATAGTCTCATTTATGTGGTGTAACTTTGTTGCGGTATGATAGTTTGTCTAAAAATGGGTAAGAAAGGCCAAAAATAGTTTTAACTTGATTATCCTAATTAGACTTGGTTTTAGGAGCCCACTTTTGATTATAAGACCCACTCTAGCCATACCTAGCACAAAATTTAAAAAATAAAAATGAAAGGAAACCCTAGTCCTGGATCACACTGTTTTGGGGGAAGTTATACATAATTTGTAGCCCAAAACAATCATAAGGTTTATATAACTTGCATTTTAATTTCTATAACTTGATCAAATATTCAAATTAGGTAATTTCTACTTTCCCTATTAGGATTGGGAAAAGAATCCCCCCTCAATTTGTATATATAGCACAGTATCCCTTGAACACATGCATAATTTAATCAGTTCAAGAAAGGATGAATAATTGCAGCCTCAGTATCCCCTGCCATAATAACCCTAAACCTCTTAACACTAGTACTAATCGTTTTAGTGAGTTCAAGGCTGATGAGATTGAGGTCTCTGAAATCCTGCTTCATATGACCAAACTCATCTCTGAATCCAATCAGCAGATGGTGCGGGGCCATGATCATCATCAGACGGCTAAGGTTGGTGTCATTAAGCTTCATCGAGTAGATTTCGACAATGTACCGGATCTGAACCTGCCTGCTTCTCTAGAGGAGGATTAATCAGCTGCCGTTGATCACTACTCAGAATCAGCCTTAAACTGTTGTTATCGTGCTATGTTAACGTAGGGTTTTGAGTAGATGATTGTCCAATGTCCTTTATGTATGATAAAAAATTAACGGATGAATAAAATGTTAATTATGTTGTTTAATGTGTCTACTCTCCCCTTTTGATCATCTTTTCCACTTGCGTATGTGAATATTTGATGAGTATTCCAGTCTATCCATCACAACCCTGATTCAAATTGATTTAAACATCCCAATATGTGTAAGCTGATTAGAAGAAATTTGGATATTGCAACAAAATAAAATACAAAAAGTTTGTAATGTTCGACTCTTGTTTAATTACGCGATGCACATGATTTGAATCGTTAATTTTTGGATCTAACCTTAAAGGTTAAATATGCAAGAGTTCCGCTAAGTTGGGTTTAGTATGGACTAGGTGATGCATTCCGGCTCACTTTACATGATTATCGTGATAGTTAAACTAGTTCTTTTATCGAAACATTGTGTTCATCTATTAATTTAATCACATTTAGATTGCGTAATTTCTTGAAGGATAAATGATCGTCAATCAAGGAGAGCCTAAACAATAAGTTCAGGTCATGGAACCAGATTTTGAGGTAGACCAAAATGAGTAGTTTGTTCCGTATTAGGAATTAATCTAACTACAATAACAAATTAATCCATATATAATTAGATATTACAATTAAGTTTGTGCGAAGCTGGTTCTATTGAGATTCAGTGTACTATAGTGTAAAAAAAAACTACGTTAATTATGTATGGTTATGAATTTTCTCTCTAAATTGCATGTCCAACGAATTTGTTAAAGACAAACGAATTGACCAAATACCATATGGATTATAATTGCTAACAAATTCAAACAAACAAGGAATGATCTTTAAGTAGCTTTAAGAGAATCAACATAATCATATCTTACAGGAACATAAAAAACAGCCGAGAAATTGACAGACAATTCAAGGGGTTGGTATTTCTTTTTCTTTCCTGATTGTTTGAAATTTTGAATTTGCAAATGCTATATTATGTATACGCAAATAATATACGGTATATACAGTAAGCCAACTAATCAAATATGTAGCTTGACCAATTGGAGAAATTTTTTCAGTATACCAAGTACATGACCCTGTACACTAAATGTCAAACAATTGATATTATAACACTTGATGTACCAGACTGTATTCTCGACACACTAAAATCCGACACATTGACTGGCCATTACCTAGATGGGTTGGCCACTAATTTATCAAATTAATGACATAAATATTGCATAAGAAGTCGTATTACAAGAGTTTGCTGCTAAAATATTTTTACACTACATTTGAGGTTATGTATTCACTTCCTCTTCTCTCCCAATATAAAAAACACCGCAGCGAGATCAAAACACATTTACGCACATTTTGACATAATAAGAAAAATTAATTGTCAATAACCATTGACATTTTTTAAAACATACGATATTCTTTACACTAAGCGGCGGGGGAGTGCTAACACTCATAATGGGCTGGCCATAATAACTTGGTTCGAATATACTAGCCTAATCGAAACTAAAACCCCTCACTCATAAGTGAAGAGAAATACCACTAGACCATATAATACTATGACAACCACCGACATTAGTTGCAAAGGATAAAGCTGGCTAACATTATTCTATAAAAACATAGACATTATAATGGGTGATTAATTGACACATTTATGTATTTTGTAGACAACTTTCCTTAAAAAGGAGGAAGATTAATATGGCCAATAAAGTGGTGTTTTGGGGTTAAATAATCACTACCACTATCACTAATCTCATAAACATAGACATAGTTGCTGAATGTGCATATACCCGGCGACCTAATTAATAGTGAATAAAATAAAAAAAAAAAAATTTTGTTGAATAAAAACAAACTTTTTTTATTATCCATGATCGAAAGATTTGTTTCCTAAGTTTGACTACCATAGTGGAACTATGAGTACGTATGGACTTCATCTAGACCTACTTAGCGCGTTTACCAAAACTTTGAAAAGAGTTTTAGTGAGAGATATATAGCTATCTATTTCCAGACCATGAAAGAATTAGTGGGCAGGCGGCAGGCCATATATTTGTCTAATGGCAATTTACATGAACTGGATGACCACTGATCAGTTCCATTAGGAGCTGGCATTTTTAATTATAGCTTTAACATAATTGGAGATCATAATATGATTCCACACTAGAGATTCGAGTGTGTTCCTACAAAGTTAAATAATATACAGAAGAAGATATATATATATATATATATATATATATATATATATATATATATAAAATATACACACACAATTGGAAATTCATGTAACCAAAACATAGACAATTAGGAACCTAAAGTCGTTTCCCTTTCTGTTTAAGTCAATATCAAGTGGACTGATAATTTTTCTAACAAGGTTTTTTTTTACTTTTTAATAATTGTAATTAGTTTGGTAACTATATGATTTGTCAAAGAAACGAAACTAATTGAAGTATGCAGGTTCATGAACTTCTATCACTATGGACCTAATTAATCACTTTCCAGTCAAGCACTAACTTGTTGATTATGTTTCTTTTCCAGAAAGAAGCGACCAGCTAAAAAGATCAAAAACAAAAAAAACAAAAAAACAAAAAGAATATGTGAACAAACCAGCATGGTTTTGTTTCTTTCATGAACGTAAAGCCCTGATAACTTTGGGATGTATAAATAAATAAATAAATAAATATATATATGTATATATATATATATAATATACACACACAATTGGAAATTCATGTAACCAAAACATAGACAATTAGGAACCTAAAGTCGTTTCCCTTTCTGTTTAAGTCAATATCAAGTGGACTGATAATTTTTCTAACAAGGTTTTTTTTTACTTTTTAATAATTGTAATTAGTTTGGTAACTATATGATTTGTCAAAGAAACGAAACTAATTGAAGTATGCAGGTTCATGAACTTCTATCACTATGGACCTAATTAATCACTTTCCAGTCAAGCACTAACTTGTTGATTATGTTTCTTTTCCAGAAAGAAGCGACCAGCTAAAAAAGATCAAAAACAAAAAAAACAAAAAAACAAAAAGAATATGTGAACAAACCAGCATGGTTTTGTTTCTTTCATGAACGTAAAGCCCTGATAACTTTGGGATGTATAAATAAATAAATAAATAAATATATATATGTATATATATATATATATAATATACACACACAATTGGAAATTCATGTAACCAAAACATAGACAATTAGAAATTAATTGAAAAAGAACCTAAAGTCGTTTCCCCTTTCTGTTTAAGTCAATATCAAGTGGACTGATAATTTTTCTAACAAGGTTTTTTTTACTTTTTAATAATTGTAATTTGTTGGTAACTATAGGATTTGTCAAAGAAACGAAACTAATTGAAGTATGCAGGTTCATGAACTTCTATCACTATGGACCAAATTAATCACTTTTCCAGTCAAGCACTAACTTGTTGATTATGTTTCTTTTCCAGAAAGAAGCGACTAGCTAAAAAGATAAAAAAAAGAGTATGTGAACAAACCAGCATGGTTTTGTTTCTTTCATGAACGTAAAGCCCTGATAACTTTGGGAGGTATAAAAATAACATAAACAAAAATAAACTGTGGGCAGTAGCTAGCTAAGAGACAAGTAAATGGCAGCCATGTCCAACATCACAACGATATAAACTATACATTAGAGTATCACTAATTAGCAGAGGCTGTTTCACTATTTTAATGGGAAAACGCATAAAAACACAATTTCAATAACCCGGCTAAAGGGCTCGCTATTTTAGTTTAGTGAACAATCGCTCGTTAGATTTAACACGGAAGAGGGAGAAAATAGTGAGTCCACAAAACTTTAAATAATGTACTTGTGTTTCTCCCTTAATCTCTATGCTCGGCCCCTTCGGTAGTCCGATTAGATGGTGGAGCGATGAGAGCTAATGACAAGTAAAACCAGATGAAGAATCATCAAGCTAGATCCATTGACTTGAGCATTGTACTTGAAGCCACTATTCTAAAATTCCTCGCCTAGTGCCGCCTAGGCACAAGGCGACTGGCCACCGTCCCGATTAGTCCTTTAGCATTTGAAAATTAAGAAAGGACGCCTAGACTTACTCAACCATCTGCCTAGCCCTCCTACATGTTGGCCGAATTCCCCATAATGGTTGAATTCTGTAAGTTTGTTGTTGTTTAAGTTTTGAACAATTTCCCATGTCTTGGATAATTTGTTTGGTGAGCAACAATACATGACAAGAATATAAGCAAAAAAAAGAAAGTAAAGATCCAAATAAAAAGGTTGCTAGCATTTCTTTTATAAGTAATTATTTAGTAACAATACCAATTTATAGCTAGGTTACTAAGCATGTTGATTACCACCTGTAAAGTATCTCCAACAGGGGTAGGAATTGACTATCAAAGTTAAATTTGCTATGCCAAATAGGGAAAACACATTAGCAACGGAGTTAGGAACCCAATTAGCAAATTGAAGAATTAGCTACTGACCTTGTACTTCTTCAAGTTAACAAATTGGGTCCTGCAATATATCATTCAAAAGTATTGTTTGGTAAAAAGTTCAAAAATGAAATTTGAGCTCCACAAGATAAGTTAAAGTTAAGATATTAATATTTTTTAGTGAAAGGTAAAATTTGAAAAGTTGGTTAAAGAGTAGGTTGGTGTGACAAATTTTTAAACTAGCATAAAAATGTCCAATGGGTTAGTAAATGACACTTTTAAAGAAAAAAATTGCTAACTCCTACAAAAATGCTCTAAAAGACTGAGTTATATTGTTATTGTGATAGCCATGATATTAGACTTATCACACAAAAAATTCTAGTATTTGATTCTCTCCTACATAGTCCAAACCTGGGACCCGACTGATAGCTAGTAGACTTCCTTAATTATGCATCATCCGTCGTGATACATGGGTGTTATGTATCCAAGAGAGAATATATATTTGAAGTTCAGTAGTTATCAAACGGTTGAAATTCTCTCATCATAAAATGATTGGTACCGCAACATGTACTGATTTTTGATACGATCTGTAACTCCCTTTTGTGTCTCAGCTCTCAAGCTTCATATACACACATGTGGGACCTCCTCAGCCCTCAGTTTTGTACCAAATGAACTGTAAAGGGAGTGTCAAAAAAAAAAAAATTCTCTCCTTTTGTATATGCTAAAAATATGTGTACAAAATCAGCACAACACGAGGTGCTTTAATTTGTAATAATGTTATATAATTAGGCGGCTTTGTGGAAATGTTTGCCTTGATATTACATAACCCCACAAAAATAGGTAAATAAATATATGTGAATGTGAAGTTCCTTATAAAAAGGCACACTCAGACATAAACCCTTTGTGAAAAACACTAGCACTAGCAACTCCACCACCATGCCATTATCAAAAGCCACATAGAAAGTTTGGCCTCCCCAAAACCCTTTTCCTTCAATTCACCAAACTCACAACCAAAATCTGTTCATTAGTTTTCTTATTCCAGCAATCAATTCGGCATCCGATTGGTGATTCGAGAGATGTGTAGTATGCTAACAACAATGAGGCAAAATATCCACAACATAAGGAAAAGCCCTAGAGTAGCAGACGAGAGCATGGTAAATGTTGGAGCAGGGAACCCAGCACCAGCAGGATTGCCAATTTTTCCAGCTCACCATGATCATCGTCACGTGGATAGAAGATCATCCTTGCGTATACGTTGGATTAAGGGGTTTAGTTCAGTGTTCTATAGCGTTGTACTCGTGCCATTTTCTGCAATTTCTTGCTTTTCTCAACCTCATCATGTTCATGGTGCTGATGGGGTGTGGGCATCTGGTGAGTTTCCCAGATAACGGAGATGAATCAACTAATGGTAAGTGACAGCATGCGCTATGCCATCTTGATGTGAAAAAAATGAATGTAACAATTGTTGTAGATCATCCTCTCTCTTTTGCAGCAGTACTACATGCATGGATTGGCAAACGATCGATCGATCATGGTTACTTTTAGATGACCATCCATGTATAATGTTTCCCGTAGTTTTATCAAAGATATGTTGGTGAAGTACTACATCTACATATATACATACATAAATATATAAATAATAGTATAATTCAGCTTTAATTTGTTTTATGAATAATATGGCATCGTGTGGCTGCTTAATTTTATTCTCCCTCAGTACTCTATTTAGTCATGTATGTCAAGGAGAAAAAGTAATTATATTATTGGTGCTTTTGGCTTGAACCTTTTCAAATGCCACGATTGTGTTGACATTATTACTTTACCTTAATAAGTTTTAATATATATGCATAACACAATGTTGTTGAAATATTTTGTTTACTAAACCATTAAAGAGATTAAGAGATAATTAAAGGCATGCACTTTGTTTTCTGTACGTTTGTACTGGTTGATTGTTGAGTGTGGAGGAGGGAATTTGTTAGCTTTTAACTATTTCTTGGCTCATATAGTTCAAATTTTTTATGAGTTGAGTTATTGGTTAACATGGTATCAAATTTTTTTTTTTTTGGTAGAAAACATGGTATCAAATTAAACTTCGGTTGTAAAGGTGAAAAACGGAATCAAATTACCTTCAATCCCCTCTTACTTCTTTATTAATTACAAATGATGGTGCTTTTATATTTATATTGACATGGGCCTTCCGCATACTTAAAGGGTGAAAGTTGGGTTGATATATAAAGATGTAAGGTAAAGTCATTTTTTTGTGAATATAAAATACAAACAGTTTCAATCGTCGATAAGTTTTTAATATTTTTTTATTCTTTAATGAATTTGTTTTCTTACAAGAACAATTTTACACTAATTGGTTTAAAATGACATTTTTTTTGTAATACAAGCGATATTTTATACTAATCTACAATAAGGGGACATGAGAATTTGAACCCGAACCCAGTGGGTAGAAAAAAAAATTTCTAATCACCAAAGCAATCCACTATTTTCCAAGGAATGACATCTTTATCATAGAAAAACTTTGTAACATATATTGTCTATTTTCCTAACGACTTAAATTTTTAAGGTCCAATTAATAATTCAGCAACATGTTCTATAGAGTAATACTCACCTAAGGTCCCCATTTTGAGGACCTATGAAGAGACCAACTATATCCTAGCCATAAGAATGATTCAATGAGATCTGGCTCAAATTCTTTTTACGACCTATATTTACACTCTTTTTTTAATTTTGACCCGTTTTGTTTGAAGAACCCATTTTTCTTTTACTTTCCCGATTTCTGTCATGTTTGTTTCTTTAATCAATATGAAGAAAATAAAAACACATTAAAATTCCTTGACAGCTTCGTTCATTTCTCCAGATTTGGCATAAAAACATCTATAAACCTATTTCCAACGAAAGCATCTTATGCTCTTCGTTTAATCAGCAACCCTTGAACTTCCTTCCCAACTTCATTTATTCAAAACGATTGGAGAAGCCATGTTTCAAATACAGATGCTTCTACTGCAAGAACCCAGATGATCATAATCAAATAAAAGAAAAGAAAATCAAATAAGCAGCCTAAAAATTCATGTGTGTTCTGCAATTTATTAGGACAAAATTTCACAAGAAGGGGAAAAAAAAGGCAATCAATTAAAGATTGATGAAATACTTGCGAATCAAACAAAGAAAATTGTTATTTTTGCAAAACCTTTTAAAACAATATGAGTAACGAAATTATTTTAACAAGAAATGATGGAATGGTATTCCATTAATTAATCATCACAAACAAATATAAGGGTGTCATTGCGTACATTGCTCTAATGACTAATAAATTGATGTAGAGTGAATTTGTACAATTAAACAAAAAAGTGTAAATCCTAAAGACTACCACAAGTACAGACACACAATTGCTACTAGTGTTAATCTATCACAATAAACAATAGATGCAACAAAGTTATATTGGCAGCCACATTATCGCCCAATAGCAAGGCCACGTAAATCCATCGCAGTTGAGTGATATCACATCAAATTACCGTTGATAAATGAGACCATATAACTCATCAGTCATCACTCAAAGACGAACACTAATCTAGTTATCATAACAGAGCGACCACAACACTCACAAGGTGAGGCAAAAACACAACCACAATACTCTGGGAAGGGAACCATTGCTCAACTCACCTCAATGGAGAACAGGGACACTCATGCCCAAGCCACCTACAACTTCACCGCTCTAGTGAGATTCCGGTTTCCATCCGTTAAGCACCCAAGATCTAGTCGAATAAGACAACAGAGTCGCCAAATCCGATGTCACCAAGCGCCGGAGTTGCGAGATTCGAAACACAAATGGTAGTGGGGCCAGTAAAATGAAAAGCACAACATGCAGAGAGCTTTTATCTACATTTAAAAAAATTTACCTTAATGAAAAACTAATTGAAAGAATGAGTGATATAAGATGACTAATAATATTTCTTTAGTAAAAGAAGAGCAGAAAAAATGAGAATTCTTTATATTTAAACCAAGAAAAAGCATGATCCTTTGGCCAACCCATCAATTTCTGGTCCAAGATATGGGAATAAATTCCAGTGTTACCTACAAGGGAGATGGATTGTCTGCCCTCCCCTTTCCATACCCTCTCCATGCTCTCTAGTTTTGTGCGGTCACGGTTAAGCCACGTCAACATTTTATATTTATTTTTTTTATAAAAATAATAAGACAAAAAGCAAATGTTGACGTTACTTAACCGTGACCGCACAAAACAGGAGAACATGAAGAGGGTATGGAGAGGGGAGGGCAGACAATCCATCTCCACCTACAAGAAGCCGCCCTATACCGACCCCTACAAGAAGTCCCCCAATACGGACCCTTGATGGAAACCTACCACATCATGCGTTACTTTGACAAATATTTATGCCTTTCCCAAACCCTTGTTTTCCCTTGTTTTGACGATTGACTAATGATGAGGGGACAATGTAAAATTGTGTTCAAAATCCCAAATAAGAGGGGAAGAGAGTAAGAATGTGGCTTGGTTTTTGTCCATAATTAGTGGGAAACAAGGATAGAGTCAACTACCCCAACCTTTGTACGTAACTTGTATTGTGGAATTGTGGGAATTCATGTTTATACTAGCTAGTGCAGTTGTGGTCACAATGCAGTCCTAACAAATCATTTGATTTAAGATTTTCTTTTTCGTTATTTGATGATCAATCTATTCATTCCTAGCCACCCAAAAAGTCTAGTTTTATGAAACGTCTGTGATGGGTTTGGTGAAGTTTTCTTGTCAGATATCCGACAAGTATATTAATTTTCATACAAAAATATGAAATGTAGGGCCAAATTTAAATTACTCCTCTTGATGAAGTACACACTGAGAATTGTATCCAAGAATAGTAGTTGTCACTGTGAATTTTGTGGTAACTTCTTTTATTAAGAGAATAAGGGGCAAAAGGTTGTGCACCATTTAGATGGACATTAAAAAGTAATATGTTTCTTAATTCGATACGTTACCTATACGTTATTGTCAACAAAAATATTGGCTGAAGCATGGAAAAGAAAATGTTTGCACGTTTCTGGAAACGAGTAAAACTTCTCTTTTTTCAGTAGTTGTGTATAAGAATTGTTAATCTATTTCATGTGTATGGTACTCTTTCAATAGTGTTAATGGTTAAAATCTGGTTTAACTATATGCTTGGTAGGTGGAGCTAGATGACTAGAAACATTTTAGAAATTAAACAAATATCTCTATTGGCCAGGGTGGAGAAAATGTGCCTACAACCAAACGTAAACATATATTTGTATACAATCGAAAACACATAAGAATTTACTATTAGGCTGTTAAATTAAAATAGTATCGATATATAAATATAGTGTGTGTGTATATATATATATATATCCCAGAGTTTTAACTACCACATATTGAATCCATCAAGAGAGAATTATAGACATAGCATTTTTTTTGTCAATCAACTTGTTAAAAAATCACAAAGCATATCGAGAGGAACCAATACAATGCTCAAAAAGTAACTATCATAGAAAAATACCATGTTAATAATCACTAACTAGAAAACAACATGCAACGAAAGTACTTTAATTTTATCTTATCCTTTGCTTAATGAATACGATTTCGAAGTGCTATGAACCCCAATTATCTCACCATTGTTCACACTTTTTATACAGACTGAAAATGACATGGGAATAAAGTAGATTATCATGGAATGATGGAAATAATTGAGTCTCGACAATGACCAATTAAACTACATGTACCTGATGAAAAATACAATTAAATAAACTAGTTTATTTTTGCTTTTTTTTTAATCAAAATTTTACTTTCGACGGTGGCTGGTGGCATCAAAGATTATGATGTTGCTGCCTTGTTGGTGACATTTTTGTCCACTTAAGGATTCTGAATTGCAAATGCACCTGCCGACACTCTGATTAGTTGGTTTTGGCTGTGCTTTAGTCATGATTATGGTATGTCAGTATCAGTATCTGTGCTATATTCGATTTCAAGGCTTTACATATATATATATATATATATATATATATATATATGAGCAGCCAAACCAAATTTCAAAGTCAATATTTTAATTACCAAAAGTGGTGAAGGATTCTTCTGTTAATCACTAGATTTGGATTTGGATTTGTATGGTACAAGCAGATGTGTATGTATTTGATGACAGTGAATCTTACATATCAAACTAACGTACATAAAAGCAAAAAAGTAAAATAATATTATGAGTTATGTTTTTCCATTTTGACTCATTAGAAGTTCTTCAATGTGGGACAAATTTTGCGAGACAGTTATGGCACGTAAGTTGCCAATCCACCCAATTATAGTGTATCAATCGACTAGCTACTCACTTCCTGCAAGATTTATTTGTATTTCCAAGATTGTAAGATCCTTGATAATTTTCTCAACTGATTTTCAATCATATAATTCTAGTGTCCATTTTAATATCTTGTAAAAAATATTAGATATTGTTGATGATAATGAATGATGATTTACATATACAATTACAAAAATATTAGGACAATCAGTAGTGAGTCCTGCATGATCCAAATTGGCAAATCATTATAATGTTGTTCTCAACCTCTTAGCAAGAAAATGGTAAACAAATTTTAACATCAGATCAGATACGATTGCGACTGCGACTGCGTAGATTGTATCTTCTAGTATATGAAGAGACTGCATGTAAATTATCTCCAACTTCTTCTTTGAAATGGTTTGAATCCGTCAGGTGTTCAATGCCGTCTGATATGTCTTTGTCAACGAATGCAGACCAGTCAGATTCATCATCCGATTCC